GAGGGTTTTGCAGGGCTGTTGGAGGTTGTTGAGATAGGAAGGATGCAAGGTCATGGAGAGATTTGAGAACGAAGATGAAAACTGGGGAAGTGACCGGAAGGTTTGAGTCACAAGGAGAGGCTGGAGAGGCCAGAACCTTTCTCCTTGGAGCGTCCAAGGCTGAGGAATGACCTTGTAGGAGGTTTATAAAATCATGAGGGGTATAGTTAAGGCGAATAGTCAAAGGTCTTTGTCCCAAGATAGGGGAGTCCAAAACTAGAGGGCACAGAACAAAGGACAGTACAGCTCAGGAACAGGCCCTTCGTCCCTCCAAGCCTGCACATTTTGCATTTTGCCACAGGTTTAAGGTGAGAGGGGAAAAGATTTAAAAGGGACTTGAGGGGGCAACTTTTTCACACAGAGGGTGGTGCGTGTATGGAATGAGCTGCCAGAGGAAGTGGCGGAGGCTGGTACAATTACATTTAAAAGGCATCTGGATGGATACATGAATAGGAAGGATTTAGAGGGATATGGGCCAAACACAGGCCAAAACAGGACTAGTTTGGTTTAGGAAACCTGCTCAGCATGGACGAGTTGGGCCGAAGGGTCTGTTTCTGTGTCGTATGACTCTATGAGCGATACAAGTTGGGCCAATTGATTCCCCATCCCCTCGCTTGACTTTGCGCGAATATAAAATTAATGACCCACCAGGGCTCGTTATTGTGGAGATGTGTTGAAAATAATGGAGCGTGGGGATTTAAGATTTACACGTGTGGCCCTCCCTGCACACACACAGAAATCTCAGACACACCAGAGTAAAGAAGAGTCCTTCTGAGCTGATCTCAGCCAACGCATCACGTAGGCACAGGAGAGTTCCTTCAAAAAAAACCAGACAACAAACAACAAAGAAGCAGTCTACAGATTTGAAGTGACCTAATCCAAATGAAGCTGCGCAGCGGTGAGAGTAATCCACATTTTATCAGATCTGTGGGTTGATTTGTCTTGTTAATAAGCCATTGTGCGCACAACCAACTCTCTCTTGTTTCCCAGACACTGCACTCTGTCAGTCAATGGGTTCAGCCTTATTGGTTGAACGCTAACTCACTCCATCAATGTGCGTTGATCTATTGACAACAAGGTGCAGAGCTGGATGAACACAGCAGGCCAAGCAGCATCATAGGAGCAAAATATAGATCCTTTAATTCCCGGGCAGCTTCGTAAAGATGCATGATGAGCGTCTTTGAACCAGCAAGCAAATAAAATCTCACAGACAAAAAAACAG